ATAAAGCAAGGTGTGACATAAACAAGCACATAGCAGTACTGCAGCAATTTACACTCGACAGCCAGCACATACCAATACTACAAAAATTTCACTTTCTAATATTATGTTAATAAAAAACAACTGCAGCCAGCACATACTAAGGGAATATATTATGTTACTTTACACTAACATAAACAAGGGAATAACAATACTACAGCAATTTCACTTTATAACAAATTAGGAAAACCAACTACAACAATTTATACTAACATAACAATACTGAACATTAAGCACATAAACAACAAATAAAAGGGCACTTAATTGATTCAAAATAGCCAGTTTTAACTCTAAGCATGCTTATCAACTGATTCTTAGCTGAAACTTAACCCCTCAAAAATGATAATTTCAGCACAAAATATAATATAACAGAAACTTCAAAATGGTGACATAAACAAGCAAGGTAACAATCACCACGTAAACAACAACATGTTTCTCTTTCTTTTTCTCTTCAAACTTGGTTAAACTTAAACATGAAATGAACTCCTCGAAACTGAAAGCTTAAGCCAAATATCAGCCTGAAATCAATCACATTTTCAGCACAGAAGTAACACAAGGTTCAACTATATAGAAGGCAACACAAGGATAAAAGCAATCTGCAACATGCTTTCTCTTTCTCAAAATTTAAAACAATGCAATTAAACTTTTCAAAACTGAAATTCAGGTAACATAACCTATCATTCATATAACCACTGTCTAAATATAATAATTGAAAAGCATAACACTACAAAAAGAAGTAAAGAATGAGAAAAGCCTAAGGCCACATAGCAGTATAGTAATCTGAAAATTAAGCACATAAACACCACATAAAAAAGCTCTTAAGAGGCTCAGCAACTTCATAAATAAAGGCAAAGGTCGAGAATGAGAAGAAAAACATATTACCTAGTACTTGGAAAATGAATTACGGAAAAGCTCTGACCCCCTCACTGCACGACCATCATTGCAGTATAAGTGAAGCCCCTCTAGCTCGGAAGAACGTCGTCGACGATGGAATTCAAGACATCGCGGCTTCTCAATTTGTCACAAACTGAGTACAATTGCAAATTCCCAATTTGTCACAAAACTTGATAAAATCAAACACACACAAACAATTGTTCGTAGAACAAAGAAATTTCCATTTGACGAAAAAAGGCAAAAGCCGAAAGTGAAACAAGATAAACTCTAAAACCTAGTACTTGGAAACACAATTAACGGAACAGCTCTTACCCCTCAGTTCACGGACGTCGGTGCGGTATATGTGAGGCCACTATATATCGGAAGAACGTCGTCGACAATTACAGTCAACAAATCGCGGCTTCTCGTCGGGAGAAATGATGGAGCTTCTCGTCGTCGCGATGCCTTCAGACAAATTAGGGTTAGCGCACCTTTGAAAAATGAGTGCAGTGTTTGGGGGAGAAATCAACTGAATTTGATTTTTGTGTACATGAGGGTAATTTTGTCTTTGACCTGAGTATCCTGCCACTTAATCCTTCGAAGTAAATACGGGATTCATTTATGCGAATCCGAACCTGGAAAGTAAACAAGGGACTGTGTGCTGACATGTAAAGTTGCAATGGGATTATTTATTTTATCCCAACCCTCAAAGTAAACGACCCCCAAATAGATTAAGTTTGGATTGTCATAAATACACATATTCAATGTATTTAAACTATTCTATATAAATCTATTTATTATCTTTCTTTTTCTAATGTGCATATTATTTCACTTTCTAAATTTTTTATTTTTGCCCATATTATTCCCTTATGTGTTTTAAATAAAAATTTTATAAATAAAACTAATGATGTATATAAATTAGTTTTCTAAATTTAAAATAATATTATTAATTCACTTAATTCATTTTATAATTATATATTATTCCTTATTTATTTTTTCCAACTTCAATAAAATATATAAACATATTTCTTTCTTGCGTTTTTTTGTTGTACATTTAATAATTTAACAAATACACGTTTAGTTATCATACTAATATATATAATTAACCTTACAAATTCTCATTCACTCGAAGAACGGCCACAATCGTCACAAATATCTCATGCATATTCGGTTTCGATAGTAGTTATTTACAAAACCAAACAATTTTACATGTGGTGTCACTTAAAAAACAAAGAAG